GGTGTCAGTGGAAGAAATAGTGCCCCATTGTTGGTGTCAGTGGAGGGAACTATGCCCCACTGTTGCTGATGCTGGAGGGAATAATGCCCCAAGGGCCAGATAAAAGCAAGCAAAGAGCCAGATAAAAGCAAGCAAGGGGCCGCATCTGGTCCCCGGGCCACAGTTTGGAGACCGCTGTATTAAAGTGTTTAGTAAAATCCGACTTTTTATATACAGTAAAGCATGCTTGTTACACCCACTGTGGAACCTAAGAGGTTAATCATCTGCACTGTGTAAAAAGGCTGTTTGAGCCTGTCTTCTTTAATCCTCCCCTTCTTACAGTCCCCAATGCATCTGCTGATAGAACAGAGCCTTGGGAGCAAGCAGCACATGCTCCATTTGGTGTGTATTGCTAGAGGTTTTCTTTGTGAAAAAGTACATGTGATCGGCACAGGGCAATCAGCGCTGTCCAAAGGGTCAGGGGTTATGCAGTTTCATAGGACAGTCAAAGGAGAATGAAAACACCTCCTACAAGATTTACCACTGTTTGGCCGGACACTGATAGAAGTCCCAAGACTGCTGATGAGAAAAGGTTTTTAGGAGTTTATATTTACTAAAATAATTGAATGTTCTGTGTACTGTGGGAGACCAGATATAGTGAATGTAGGGCCCTGGGTTTAGTAACACTAAGTTGTTTGCTTAAAGCTCATCCCTAACATTGTTTAGCCCAAAACAATATCAATACGCAAAGAACTTAGGCTAGCCACACATGCACAGTTTTCTCTTGTTCAGCCAGCAAGCTGAAGAAGAAAATTGTAATAGATTCCTCATCCATGCTAAACAATGAAGAATCTCCACTGGCAGCTACTGTATTTTAAGCAGCAGTGACACCATTGGCTGCTTGAATGCCTGAACAGTGACTATATCTGACAAGATGCAGTCAATAATTGGCCGTCAATTTTCCACCAGACTACTTCCATTTTTTTCAATTTAGGTTTGTTGAGCCGGGTGGTGTTACAAGGCCACCCACAGCTCAAACTTTAGGTGATTCAACAGGAATCGGACGAAATTCGAGCCACGTGTGGCCATCTTTAGTAACATTCTGTTTTCCATAGATTGCAGCACTTAGGGCCAGAAGATGTAAAATGCTCTACTAACCGATGACTTCATTTTTTTTCTTGTGTCCCTTGACACTATAAAAGGGAAATTATGGACAACAGAAAGGTAAACTGTGGCTCACAGCTGCTAAAGAGGCTTATTACATTATATGGAATCAGACGCTGTGCCATGCTCACGAAGCAACCACCTGTACGGGTTATATAAATGGAAGCCCATACTCATGGGAAAACATATCAGTCTTATTCTTGCCTTCCAGATTCACTTTCTGGAAGTTTACAGGTATTTATCAAAAAGGAAATTCAAATCAAAAAGAAAAGTTAAATATACTGTATGTTCTGTAGTTCTCTGTGCATTTAATGTTTAAAGAACTACTTCAGGAAATACTTTGTGTGCTGGCTTACAGTGAGTTGAGCTGAACCCCTTATTTAAGAGTTGACAATTTTACAGAGCACTGGGTGTACCACTATCACTACACTCTTAGCTGTCTGATTGGAGAGATGCAGCTGCTGTGTGCCTGTCTACCCCTCCCTGCGCTGTCCCTTCACAGAAGGCTTTGTACTTTGTGAATGGATTCTGTGGGGGTTGGCTCAAGTGGGTATTACCTTCCGTGGGAAAAAGGCAGTCCCATATGGCAGGCTTTTCTTAAAAGTCTAAGTTGTAGCCAGTTTTATTCAAAAAGGTTGCATAGCAAATAGAATAAAAAAAGAAAAAAAAACCTTGCCATCCAAGCACTAACAAACAGTAGAGATTCCTATCTCACAGGTGAAGGACGTCTCTCAGTCACCAACAAAACATTATGCAAACCTTTTCCTTTCTCGTACAAAGCAAACTTTTACATCCACAGCTCTCTCTCAGGTATGGCTTCCTGAGTCTCAGGCCAAGAGCAACCTCTTGCTCTAATCCTGCTTTATTTCACCACCTGCTGGTGGTCACAAGAGGAAAGCGAAATCCAGTTCGGAACCAACACTATCAAGCTGGCCTGGAAAACCTGGACCAGATTACATCTTAGTTTCCTACATATAAAAGCATGCAAGAGGATACATAGCACCCCTCAATCACCCCACCTTTCATATTGTCAGTTTCCATAACAGGTTTTTGGAAAACGTGCAGGAGCACGAAACATGTTAGGGAGGATCCTAGCTATTGTGACGTCACACCACTGAGGCCGCATGCAAGGCCAGTGGCCATCTTGCTTTACCAAATACCAGATGTGGAGTTTTCCCAGTGCTCACTGTGTTTCCATCCAGTGGTCTGCGAGATCTGACAAGATGTCCCTGGATACTGTGTGAGAGGCCTGAAAGTTACCTTGCATGCTGAACGTGTGCCAGATGATTTCCAACATCCTTATCCACACCCAGATGACCATGACGGGATACTATTAACACAAATGCGCTTTTAAATTGCGCTTCTGGTGAGTGCAATCACATTATCAGCTCCAAGTCACGGATTTCAACAACACGGATTACATTGTTGCTGGACTTTATAATATATATATATATATATATATATATATATATATATATATACAGTCATGGCCGAAATTGTTGGCACCCTTGATATTTTTCCTGAAAATCAAGTATTTCACACAAAAAAGGTATTGCATTAACACATGTTTTGCTATACACATGTTTATTCCCTTTGTATGTATTGGAACAAATATAAAACAGAGGCAGAAAAGCAAATATGACATAATGTCACACAAAACCCCAAAAATGGGCTGGACAAAAAGTATTGGCACCCTTAACTTAATATTTGGTTGCACACCCTTTGGAAAACATAACTGAAATCAGTCGCTTCCTATAACCATCAATAAGCTTCTGACACCTCTCACCCGGAATTTTGGACCACTCTTCCTTTGCAAACAGCTCCAGGTCTCTCTTATTGGAAGGACACCTTTTCCCAACAGCAATTTTAAGATCTCTCCACAGGTGTTCAATGGGATTTAGATCTGGGCTCATTGCTGGCCACTTCAGAACTCTCCAGCGCTTCTTTGCCATCCATTTCTGAGTGCTTTTTGACGTATGTTTGGGGTCATTGTCCTGCTGGAAGACCCAGGATCTTGGACGCAAACCCAGCTTTCTGACACTGGGCCCTACAGTGCGACCCAAAATCCTTTGGTAATCCTCAGATTTCATGATGCCTTGCACACAGTCAAGGCACCCAGTGCCAGAGGCAGCAAAACAACCCCAAAACATCATTGAACCTCCACCATATTTTACCGTAGGTACTGTGTTTTGTTCTTTGTAGGCCTCATTCCGTTTTCGGTAAACAGTAGAATGATGTGCTTTACCGAAAAGCTCTATCTTGGTCTCATCTGTCCACAAGACGTTTTCCCAGAAGGCTTTTGGCTTACTCAAGTACATTTTGGCAAACTGTAGTCTTGCTTTTTTATGTCTCTGTGTCAGCAGTGGGGTCCTCCTGGGTCTCCTGCCATAGCGTTTCATTTCATTTAAATGTCGACGGATAGTTCGCGCTGACACTGATGCTCCCTGAGCCTGCAGGACAGCTTGAATGTCTTTGGAACATGTTTGGGGCTGCTTATCCACCATCCGGACTATTCTGCGTTGCAATCTTTCATCAATTTTCCTCATCCGTCCACGACCAGGGAGATTAGCTACAGTGCCATGGGTTGCAAACTTCTTGATAATGTTGCGCACTGTGGACAAAGGCAAATCTAGTTCTCTGGAGATGGACTTGTAACCTTGAGATTGTTGATATTTTGCCACAATTTTGGTTCTCAGGTCCTCAGACAGTTCTCGTCTCCTCTTTCTGTTGTCCATGCTTAGTGTGGCACAGACAGACACACAATGCAAAGGTTAAGTGAACGTCTCTCCTTTTTATCTGCTTTCAGGTGTGATTTCTATATTGCCCACACCTGTTACTTGCCCCAGGTGAGTTTACAGGAGCATCACATGCTTGTAACATTCTTATTTATCCGCAGTTGTGAAAGGGTGCCAATACTTTTGTCCAGCCCATTTTTGGAGGTTTGTGTGACATTATGTCGAATTTGCTTTCTTTCCTCCCTTTTTTTGTTTTGTCCCAATACACACAAAGGGAATAAACATGTGTATAGCAAAACATGTGTTAATGCAATACGTTTCGTGAGAAATACATGATTTCCTGGAGAAATATCAAGGGTGCCAACAATTTCGGCCATGACTGTATATATATATATATATATACATCTATATATATATCTATCAATAATCACTCAAGTCACTTTATTTCATCAGATTTACATTTATTTATTCACTTTGCCAATACGTCAACTTGGGACGATTCACTCCATATTGTATCACGCATAGCGCTACAAGGCACCTGCACGAATTTCACTTTACTGTTTATCATTATTTTTTAGCGCTGCATATCTGTTTACATATTTATATAGAGGGTAAGAGGTTTCACCTTTATGCAAGCAGCTTGAAACCTAGCGCTCGTTTTTATCCTTTTTAGTATATCCATAATACAAAGCATTCCATGATTGGGTCAGAGGAGGGAAGGGACTGGCAGAGTGGCTGCACACGACTCTGCTACTTCGATATCAGAGACACGGAGGTCCAGTGTTGGGGTGCCAGAAAAATAGCTAAATTTTTACTGAGAGCCAAGAGTACAGCTATCAATTGTACATAAAAATGATACATTCACAAGGTTGCATACACCTTAAGAGACTCAACCTATTGTAAGCAAGCACATTCTAAACAGTGAGGCAATTCCTGGTGTTCTTTAGGAACCTCTGAATATAACAGGGCTTATGCTGAAAACAGGAAAACGGGTGGGAGACAGATTTAATTTACTGCCCGATCAGCTGGAGAGAAAGTGATTGCCACAGGTCACTGAATATTTACACTTCTCTGTCCCTTATTAAACAAGCTAACAGTTACATTAAACCTTGAATTAAATACCTGAAGCCAATAATTCCTGTGCTGGCCATTGCAAAAGATAACCCCAGGATTCCACTTCCCATGATGGCATTCATTAAATTGAAAACCGAAAATCCAAATGAGGCTCCGGAGGACGTCCGGTCTTGTGCTTGCTGCAAAACAGTAAAAAAAATGTCAGATTTGTTTGTAAATCTGTTGTTTAAGCTTTATACAAGCAAAACAGACCACAGCTAAGAATACAGACACCTGTCATTGCTGGCCTGACTTGCATTCTCAAGTTGATTGCTTCAATTTTTCTGAGCTCCTGACCTGGGGCATACATGCAGTAAAGGAGTCAGACATTTTTATCTCTAGATTTGTTCCATGTGTGTCCCTCAGTACAGAGGCAAAAGTATCAGCAAAATGTGCAGTACACTTCATTTATTAAAAGTGCGTCTGCACTTACAGTATCGCCTTGGCCTCCCTGCATGGTCCCACAAAATACCTGTTGAGGCTGCTAGTGAAGCCCAGCCAATGCATTTTCCTCTGATAGTGTGACAACAATGCTGTACTGCCCTTGAATTTAGAGCAGACACCACTCTCATGCAGGCTATGCCTGCTTGCACTACAGTGGGATGAAAAAATATTGCAGGGGGAATGGTCACAACTTGTCCTGAACACTGCTTGTATCCTGAACTAGTCCCGACAGGACTGCTTCTGCTGAACCATTCCCTCTGTGAACTGCAGTGTCTGGGAGGGGGAGTATGTGAGACACAAATGAATGAGGCTTTGGCTCAGTCAGGGAAGGTAAAGGAAGGTTTTTTTTTTTTTTTTTGTGAGACTTGTAAATTACATTACAGTAACTAGATTTGGTACTTGCTTAGATTGTCAGACAGGTGCCATTAGTCGTACATCAACAATGAAAGCTATATTTCCTTTAAAAATGACCATGCCAAGTTTAAAGTAAAGCCAAAATAAAAGGTCCCTGCAATAGAGGAGCATTTGTACTTACCTCTCCAGTGACCTGTGTCACTTCCATGCCAGCACTGAAGTCCGTGTACTGCTATTGATATTCTACAATGTGGTGTAGAATTCTATGCTGTTGTTCCATCCTCTGACCTCTACGTCACTACAGGACTCGGAAGCCCATTCGTACCACTGATTTGTGGTAACACTACGAGTGTTGGTGTGCTGAGGTGCCATTCATTTTGTATAGTACACCAATGCATCTTATTGCATCAAGCTTGTGTACAGTGTTACCAAAAATGCATGAGGTACGATTTTAGAACCAGAGCAATGTTTTTGGCAGCCTATATAAATGAATGGCTGTCTTAAAATAACACCAACAAGGATAACCCTGGTGTGAATGTGCCCCCAGAAGTGTGAATTCTACAATACTTGGGATCACTGGAGACTGATACCAAGTCAAATTCAGGAACGTTCAAAGAGAAGTTCAGGAATAAAAAAAAACAAAAAGTGTGAACTTATAATAAAATGAATATCTCCTAAACATTAATTATTTAGGAGATATTCTATGGAGCAGCAGCTGGTGACGTCTATGACGCATGCGCTCTGAAGAAACAGCATACCTGTGCAGTTCCTTCAGAGCTCTATGTCACGGCCGTGACTCCCACGCACATGCACGGGAGTGATGTCATTGCGGCTTGGCCATTCAAGCAGCTGCAACCCAGGAACCTGGAAGGAAGACCAGGTGAAGATGAAAGCCTCTGCAACAGTGACAGCGTACCGCTGGAGGGCTTTGTCCTCAGGCAAGTCTTTCATAATGTGCTAGTATGCAATGCCTTTACCTTGCAGGGGTTTTTTTTTTTTTACCATTTACTACCACTTTGAAGTTGGGATTTCTCCTGAGCCTGGACTGTTTGAGTGATGTCAGCCAATGGCGGACCCACAGGAGAAGCAGGGCCAAAAGAGCTTTGGTGCTACTTCTCCTTAAAGCAGTTGCATTAAAAATTACACACAGTATATTGACTGGGTTGAATTAATACAAAGCCATATTTCTTATATCTCTCTAGAGTTCAGCTTTAACGTAATCTCTGATGCTCCAGCATCTCAAGTCAGTATATCATCGTTAAAATAAAATAAATAAATCACAGAGACTGTAATTCATTCATACAGTCAAAAATGTAGCACCACTATGTCAAACTAAGGGAATCTGCACCCCAGAGCAGAGGATGATTAGCCAGAGCTTTTTTAAAAGGTTTCAGCAGACATAAGCCAGCCATACATGGATCGAAATTTGGTCGGTCTAGCAGGGACTGGACAAATTTCAATCCATGTATGGGCAGGCTGATTGGATTGACTTGGGTACAACCAGCTTGTTGGATTTTTCTGTATGAGATTACTGCCAGCAACTATAGAATCTAGCAAAAACCATTGTATTCTGCCAGCCGAGAAGGCCAGCCTCCCCGCCAGCAGAACAAAACAGAGCTGCGGAAGGGATTCCCCCATCAACACTGACTGACACCCATGATTGAAGGAAAGAGAAACGCATCATCTATGGCAGGGGTCCTCAAACTTTTTAAACAGGGGCCACCGACCTTCACACCGTTGGGGGGCCGGACTATAGTTTGAAAAAAAATATGAACACATTCCTGTGCACACCGCAGATATCTTATTTATAGTGCAAAAAAACAATACAATATTTAAAATGCCCTGGACACTGTAATGCACTGGACACCAAAAATGTCCTGTACACTGTAATGCACTGGACACCACAATTCATGTACCTGGTGTGCTCTCCTCCTCCTCTCCTGTTGCTCCTCTGGCTGCAGAGGGTGAAATCGAAGGGTGAGTCTTCACCAGGCTACCGCTCGTTGGGTCCTCACGGCCGAGGACCCAGCGAGCAGTCTAGCCATTTGCCGGCGTGACTTTTATTTTCTTATTTGCTCGGGCAGGCTGGGTAAATGACTTTGGCGGGCCGTATCTGGCCCGTCTGCCGTAGTTTGAGGACCCCTGATCTATGGGCTGTAATTGGATTGAATCTTTACATAATCATGTGCATATAATTATACAGGGATTTTTTTTTTCACACGATCGGACATCTTTATTGTGAACATATTCAAATCCTTCAGTAAATCAGCCTGTCTCTATCTACCTGCCTGAGTTGATTAGAATAGAAAGGATGGTTGTGGTAGGCCTTGAAATGATGGTTAGAGCTAAAAGAGATTGCACGATCAGATTGAAAGGCGCATGGCAAGCTTTAATCAATCACTGTGCATTCTGTTACTAATAAACAATCCAGTATAAGATATTATTTTTGCAAAAAAGCTGTACAAATACTAAGAGGAGATTTATCAAGTGAGATGCTGACAAACTCAGACACCCGTCTAGGGCAAATCCAGACAACTTTAATTTAGCAAAGGCCTTACGATGATGGCTTGCAATCTAGCTGGCTGCAACAGTTTTACCAATCTTTCACTTACAAACACACATATCTATGAAGTGGTCATTCGCATGTTTTGTTGGTACAGTGATAGATCTCAGCAGCAGAAAGAAATTTATGACTCGAGTTGTAACCTGACAGCCGTGAGTCAGGATTCCTCCATAAACCCCATTTAGAAAGGAAGAAGGAAATCGAAGGATTTCTTTTGTGTAACCCACATGACTAAAAATGAGAGAAATATTACAGTGTATGGCCAGCTTAAGGATTCATTCATACTTAGTGCACCAGACCCATAGGAAATGAATGGGCAGAGGCAATGGGGGTTATTTATTAAAACTGATCTGTATTTTAAAACAAAAAAACAGAAATGTGCTAAAAACATACTATCATGTGGAAGGAAAGCATTGAGCAGGTAGGTTTTTTTTTTTTTTTTTATAGCAGAGGAGATATACTTAAGTCTCTTCCGAAAGAAAACAAAAACAAACAGTACCTACCTGCTTGCAATCTTCTCTAGAACATATGTTCTTGGTATGCCTCGGTGCCAGTAAAAAATCCCCTAAACATGCAAGGGCGCCAGGTTAATCAAGATGGTAGAAGATCCCGAACCCAAAAGAAGACCAGGGGAGGATGGCAGCATGGACAAGGAAGTGAGGGGAGGCCAGGATTATTTAAGGATGGACCGCCATTGCTGTGGTGCACTACAGCATGTGCGTTAATGTTTTGTGATGAGGCAGCCTATTTAAATTAAATGAGGAATCAATGCAGTGCAATGAAGGTTTTAATGTACCTATACCCGTACACAGCACAATAAAATGCACAGAGGGTTTACACCTGTGCATTCTGGGGAGCTAAAATACATCTGCACTGCATAAATGTGCTGGGGTGTTATTCAAATTAAAATGGAACTGCACTGCATCTGAACACTGCAAACCAAAAATGCTGTTTAATTCATTTTTAATATTCAAAGCAAACGCCCCATTCATCTATGTCTCCCTCTTCATCCCTCCTATCCCTCTTGTATTGAATTGTATTGTTGCTGTATTGTCTCCCGTTATATTGTAAAGTGCTGAGAAAACTGTTCGTGCTATATAAATCCTGTATAATAATAATAATGTCTCAATGCTTTATTTTGCTAAGAAATCATTTGAAAACCACCCCCTGGCATTTCTGGCCATGTCCATTTGGAGTAAGGGCAGATGATTCATGTAGCATTCAATTCCTGGATTTCATCTGCCCTTGGTTCAGGCATAGGCTGAGCTTAGAACCTTCCCTCCCCTCCTGAAGACTCCTGGGATGTGTGACATCATTTTCTGAAGAAATGTACAAAAAAAAAAAAAAAAAGTTTTAAAACAAGTAAACATGATATACTTTCCTAAATATTTACTAATGCTAGCAGCATAGGGATTAAAAATAGTCCATGTTGATTGAGAGAGGGAAGTTCCACGTTAAATACAGATAGCCATGCAATATAGTAATGCATGTTACCACAACACAATAGTGTGAATCCATCCTTAGATATTTCACATTTGCAAACTTGTCAGAACCACATCCCAGCCCTTCTACATTCTGTTACGTAGCAGAAACTACACAGATTACTGCATTCCTTCTACCAGGTTACAGATGACAAGTATCTTGAGTATTTCATTTGTTATTTAGCACCAGGAAACCATCTGAAGGTGCGGCCGCCATAAACAAATGCAAAGTGAAAATTCCTCCATGGCTGTACTGTAGCAAACACTACCGGATCATCTTCAACTATCTTGTGGTTGG